TTCGGTTCAATATTTTCAATGAGGTGAAGACGCAAGTCCCCTCTTTACACAATTTTGACTCAACTGTTTATGACTAGATACGTCACATCACTGAATCTTCGTTCCACAAGGTAGAAGGAAGGGAAGGCTATTAAATGCTACCTTGAAGCCAAAATTCTGTAAGACGATTACTATTTCAAAGCTTCATTAGTTGAAAGTTCTATCAATTCCTTCTGAATCTGAACCTCTGCTGTTTCAATATTCTTAACCTTAACCTACAATGTCCTTAACCTACAATGGGTTAAACATACAATGTCAACCAACCATTGCAGTAGCTCCGTCAGTGGCAACAGACACAATATTCGAAGGAGAAATGTTTTTCTCTATAAAATAATCTTTGACAGTATTAAAAATAGATTTACCTTCGGTATCTTCAATCAGGATTTTTGCAAAAAGCATCTCTTGAATAATTTTTCATTCATTCATAAATCGGAAGTACTCCTACAGTAAAGCCTCATTACTTGGCAAGGTTGACTCATTAACTTGAAGGGAAATACGTTGGACATCAAAAGTTTGCATAAGTAAACTTCAATGTCTTCAGCCATCTCATCAATCCGGTGCAACACTGTATCGTTCCGAATCCGAACTTCAAGTACGTGGCACTGTATTGACGACACTTTTTTTATTAACCGACATTGTAGGCAGCAGCAAAATACAAACGAGGAAAGAAAATAAACTATATCTTAAAATCAATAGATAATTTACGCTGAAGAACAAATTCGCGCAAGTACCTGGTCAAATAATCAATGAAATTAAATCAAAACTGGGGAAAAAACTGAAAGGGAGCGAACGAAAGCCATCATGAGAAACACGGATCAAATCAAACATTCATACTGAAAGCGCATGCAATTTTCGCCAAATGGCTTAAATAAGTCAGAAGCAAAAACAACTCACTCATGCCCTGCGATAGTTCGGATTGGAGAATAGTTGTCACATAAGTTCGTTTTACTGCTGGTACAAATAGTGTATCGGATAATTTTAATTTATTATATTAATTTTATTATTTTTCATTAATATTAATTTTTGATTTACTTTATTTATTAAAGTAATTTTAATTTAATAATTTTATTTAGAAGTTTTAAAAATGAATTTGAATGCTCATCGCCTCCCTACCGCCCAAAACATACCTACCGCCCCCCTACTGCCCAAAATAAGTTCACCGCCTCCCAGGGGGCGGTATCGCCCCCGTTGAGAATCAGTAAGCTAAAACAATGTGAAAAGTGTATAAAAAACAACACATAAACAGATATACACTATCGCTTTCGTGCTATAGTGAGGTCTCAAAAGGACAAATAAAAAAATGTTAATAAAGCTAAAACAACGTGAAAAGTGTATAAATAGCAACACATAAACAGACTTACACTATCGTTTTTGTGCTATAGTGAGGTCTCAAGAAAGGGACAAATAAAAAATGCTAATAAAGCTAAAACAACGTGAAAAGTGTATAAATAGCAACACATAAACAGACTTACACTATCGTTTTTGTGCTATAGTGAGGTCTCAAGAAAGGGACAAATAAAAAATGCTAATAAAGCTAAAACAACGTGAAAAGTGTATAAATAGCAACACATAAACAGACTTACACTATCGTTTTTGTGCTATAGTGAGGTCTCAAGAAAGGGACAAATAAAAAATGCTAATAAAGCTAAAACAACGTGAAAAGTGTATAAATAGCAACACATAAACAGACTTACACTATCGTTTTTGTGCTATAGTGAGGTCTCAAGAAAGGGACAAATAAAAAATGCTAATAAAGCTAAAACAACGTGAAAAGTGTATAAATAGCAACACATAAACAGACTTACACTATCGTTTTTGTGCTATAGTGAGGTCTCAAGAAAGGGACAAATAAAAAATGCTAATAAAGCTAAAACAACGTGAAAAGTGTATAAATAGCAACACATAAACAGACTTACACTATCGTTTTTGTGCTATAGTGAGGTCTCAAGAAAGGGACAAATAAAAAATGCTAATAAAGCTAAAGCAGCAGTGAAAGTACAAAAATAATGTTATATTACGTGATAGATTTAGCATTTTAGTGAAATCTCGAGAAAATACAAATAAATTTTTATAAAGCAAGGTAAAAAGTGCAAATAAACAGACATACACGATCGTTTTCTCACTATAAGGAGGCCTATTCTTCAATGTCGTGACACAGAATGAAAGGAAGAAACAAATATACTGACGAAATTACGAACAAGTTACAAAAAAGGATACTACTGGGATAGAGGAACAAGATAGTTATCAAAAGTAAGGAAAACGGTGTGGTGGGAAGGAAAAGGGGAATATAAATAAAAAACAAATACATTTCAAAACATCTGGAAAACAAAGAGGTACTAGAAAGATCATTAACTAAATTAGTAGAACATTTTCAAACAAGTAATGATTCTCAGAAATCTTGGTCAGTGGCTAAGGAATATTGTTGAATGATTTTAACAGAAGAAAACTCAAACCAATGAATATATATTTAGAAGTGTAGGGTGATGGAATATCTCTTTTTGGTATTTCGTTTTGAACTTGTCTGTCATGTGCTTTGACTCGAAGTTAAAAAAACGCGTTTCACTTTGCACGCCAGATCACACCGATTATAAATTCGATAAGTACCCCTTCGATTTTTCCCGCAATAGATTATTTTAAAGTTGGTGAGGTTTAGTTTAAAACGACAGGTCGGTACTTTTAAACTCATGTTTATGTAAAAGTTCAGCAAGTCTGGTGATCTATTTTGGTAAAATAATCCAATCATTAAAGTTCAAGTTAGGGAGCTTATTGGATTACGTGATTATAATATTAGAAGGATACGTGATAGTATGAGAAGGAAACCCACGGTCGATAGTGGCAGCCTGAAGGGTAAAAGAGTTCGTCATTGAGGAGATAATTGTTAGAACAAATTTTAGAGACATGGTAAACATACCCTCCAACTGCTACGGAATTTCCGTAGTTTCAGAAATCTTCTTTTCAGACGGTAGCAACATTAATGTCTTAATATTTAAAAAAAATTAATTTTAGCGTAACTTGTCCACTATTACTTATAAAAGTGCAGGCCATATGGCTAGATTCTTAAGTTCTGATAAAAGTTTTATAAGAGATCCATTTGCTTCAAAAATTTCTACTTTGGTTCGCTACCACTAGAAAGAATTATTTTCAAAATCCTCATAAGTTGGAGGGTATGGGTAAACAAGCGTGCGGAAGGCAGTTAGATTTTGATTTGGGGATGGGATTAACGATTATAAAAGGACAGTGAAACCGCAAACGGTTTCTGATAAACAGTGGAGAAAAGTTTATCTGAATGACCCAAAGCCTTGCATCAGACGTGTATAATGTCTGAAGCAACAAACTTTTATACCTTATCTAAAAATACGAATTCGTGTAAAATTGTTTAGTGTTTCTAATTCAGTGTAGTCGGACAGTAAGCGCGTGACATGTAAAACCAGTATTCTGCCTTACTGTAATAGCCGTACGCCGTGCAATACCAACGCCTCCTATAACTGAAAGCCTCCACACGGTTTTTTTATAGGTAGTCCGATCAGACCACTATAAAGGATATCCACTTACCGAACGAGTCAGTTAATATAGAATAGTTAAAATAAGAAAGTGGTAGCAAATATATGACTAAAAATTTATTTTACTTATGAATATTATAGGTTTGCCTTATTCACTCGTCAACCATTACAGATTCGATTCTCAAATATATAAGATAAATTTCTCTCAATTACTTTTATAAAAGGTTTTGGGTTCATGCGCGAAACGGGTTCACTTTTTAAACAGTCTGCGTGAACTACTTATAAAAGACCGTGTGGAGGCTTCTTGATGTAAGAGGTGATGGCAATACCCATTGAAAATAAAAATGTAATTTTCAAATCACTGTATTATAAGTGACGATTTTATTTGTACCTTTGCACCTTTTAAAGGTGTAAATTGAGAAGATTTAAATTAGGAATCCAAAACTGGTTTTTTTAATTTATCTTAATTACTTTAAATTAGCAAAAGATGGGGGGGGGAGACTTTTTAAACAACATATAGCCACAAAAAAACTCTTTTTATTCGAATTTACAGCACTTTATTTATACATTATTCTCATTCTAAAGAGAAGAAAAAAAACCCATCCATTTTAAGAAATAAAATATAGCATAAGAAATTAGATTTATTTCCCAAAAAGCTTTTAATGCACGCCTCAGCTTTATTTCCCTACGTCTGATGACAATTTTCATAAAATCTGTTCTGCATTAAATAGAAATTAAATTTAAGATAGCTTTTAAATTAATCAGCGGAAGGCTTTTATTCTGCACATCAGGAAGGCATTCAACTGAGATGTCGTCAAAGTAACCTTATTACCGAAATTGGATAATTGAATAAACCCTTCAAGTTTTATTTCTTCGCGCAACTGGCTTTGAAAAGTCTTTGTCTGCTGGATTTAGAATGAAATTATTATATGAATTCAATTAACTTGTTCAGTTTACCGTGCAAAAGCGAGCATTCTTGCTATTAACAAGATACAGAATGTTTAATAACGCAGCATTCCGTTTTCTGCGAATTTCTATTTCTGTAATCCTCCAGATGAATAATTTCTTTACATTCCATTGATGATTCGTTTAATTTGTAAAACAAATGTAATTATTTGCATAATGGTATTAAATAACTTATGTTAAGTTGGCCCTACTAAAGACATCACGAAGGCATCGTTGTTAAGGAACTGAGCTATCATTGTAACAGATCTGGTTTCTAATACCCGATTGCTGGTTGAAGCCATAAGAGCTTCAGAACAATGGGCCTTAGCCTTCTGGGGAAAAAGGGTGGCTGGTGTGCAATTCTGACCAGATAACTCCTCTGATGCCACTGGTCCCTCACAATGACAGTTCAATTCCTTCAACCACTGAGCCACCATGGCTCAGCTTCTTATAGTAGTTGATTTAAATATTTACAGTGAAATAGATAATATATTCTGTCTGTATTATTTCTTACAGTACTAGCATGGGATTAACAGCAGAATCTAACTGGAGAAGTTTTCCTACCAGAGGTGAGTAGTTAGTATGCTCTGTTATAGACATAGTGATTCTCAGATAAGGCAATAAATACAAATGTAGTGGTTGCGCATGTGTCACATATAAAGCTTTAACAAATCTTTTCATGTTATTTCTTTATCTTAATTTTCATTATTTACAAATCTTATTTACTTATCAAATTTATTATTATAAACGAAACACGTTCTGAAATTTATTATATCCGGCATTTTAGATTTAAATTTCGATTAAAGTATGCTAGAATTAATATTTCGAGTTTTTCCCTTAACCTGGCGTGAGAACCGAAGAAATCCCTCCTATTTTTTGAACGAGTTATTAGAAATAGTTTCCTTTTTGCATGTGATTCAGGAGATCATCGGGATTTGTTTGCAAGATTTTCCCTAATTTTTATAAAGAAGCACCTCGATATTATGTCACTTGGATGATCGTTCTCTCCACAATAATGTCTAAATAAACATTGAAGTGTTCTTTTACGGTCTATCTTAACAGCTCGCTCCGACTATCTTCTTATATATGAGATATATGAGAGATAAAGAGAGAGCCTATCATTAAAAAAACTCTCAAAACATATCTTTTTTTCCCAATACACAGGTTAACAATTTTAATTTTAAAAACGATGTTCTGACCTATTAAGTTACAGGTGTCACCATAATTTTAACATTTCATTCAAAATAATGAAGATAAAAAAAGAATCTGTAATGTTCTTTCAAAAAAATACAAAATCGAAGAATGAAAAAAATCTTGCTTTAATATGAAATCTAAAATATACTCATGTGTCTAAAACTTTAAAAGTGTATGTTGTAAGCTACATAAAAGGATAAAAATATATTTTGCTATTAATAAAAAAGCATAATTAATCCAAAGAAAATAGAAAGAAGTATTTTCTCCCTTTGAAGATTCTTTGGCTACACGGTTGGATAACAGTCTTACATTTTCTTCTTGATTCTCTTTATATACTGTTCTTGATCTCTTATTTATTCTTGCTAACCTTCGAATTTCATGTGAATATCTTGTTTGTGGGCGGTGGTAATCAGATTTTTAGTAACAGAATATATTATACAAATTTTAAAAAATGGTTATGTAAGATTAAACAGACGTCTATATTTTAATATATTTGAGACCAACAATGCACGAACTTTGCGACTTACTTTTGTAAACGTGGGAGAGGGTTCGTGACTTTTTTTCTATTGACTAGTCCTGCAGTGGACTGATCGTTAAGACACGATTCCCAGCAGATCACCGCAGTCAAGCATCACTGGCTGCTGGCAGTGTGCTGGTGGGTGACCACTTGGATTAGTCGTCTGAATAGGGACCGAGGTATTGGTCCTCATTAAACTGTTCTACCGTAAAGTGCTTGACTTCGCGTGCAGATCGGCGGGCTACCGAAGCGCGGGTGCCATCCCCTCTGCAGAGGATCAAAATTGTGATGGCATGTCTTCGGATCATCCTCAGGGATGTTTCCCAGACTGTTGCCAATAGCCTATTGTGCAGCTCTAGTGTGACGTGAATGAACTACAACAACAATTGACTAGAGGGAAGGGTTTGAAATTGCCAAAACAAGCCTGCGTTACATTAAAATGACCTCTTTCTTTAAAAAAATCATTTCCAAAGTTAGTGCCTGGTTAAGGACAAATTCCAAAATTTATCAAGGAGAAATAGATAAATTTTCTATTTCTCCTAGATGTATTTTCTATTTCTCCTAGGGTAATTTCTAATTTTTTTTTCTTTTTTAAATTTCAGAAGAAGGATGTTTACGTCTTGTTAAGTGGATTATTCAAGCTCCGCTACTTGCTGTTCTCCATTACACCATCCCTGACTGTAGGAAAGACAAATGGAAAAAATTCTTTCTCTTGACATTCTTCACTTCAATTACGTGGACGGCGGCATTTTCATACGTAATGGTTTGGATGGTAAGAATATGACATTTAATTATATTGTTTTATATACTAGGATCAGGTCGGCTAAAGTGATCATACATCAAATCGAAAATTATACATATTTTTAACTAATATTAGAAGTAATGCTTTTTCTCAATTCTAGTTTTCAGTAGTTATGAACTAAATTAAACATAAAGTATATTAATAGAAACATTTGACTATAGAAATACATCGTTCTTTTAGGTTTTGCAGTAGTAATAATATACAATCTGCCAATAATATAATTATGCGCATACGTCTCTACGCAGCATCTTATCTACATTTTCTTGAAAAACAAGCAAAACAGAACAGATGTGCAATTTTCATATAAATAAAACGTCTATTCACTCGACGTCATTTAATTTCAAGATTTAATTTAAAATTAACCCGGTTTTAAACGAAGAAATAATTTTAGGAGGAGAAAAAAACATTTATAAAAAAAATGTTCCATTGCTCTTCTAATTTTTAATAAAACGCATAATAAATGTTAATGTATAATGTGTTTTGTTAAGTTATACAGAATTTAGAACCGAAACTTTAAAAAAAATTGCCCTAGTTTTTAGGACGACTGCCACCCTAAATAGTATGTTGTGCAAGTAACTCATACGGATTATAAACGTGCAGTATGCTTCTAGTAAAATAGGCAACAATATATTTCCGAATTTGAGCCTAGAAATTTTAGAAAATTTTCGAAAGTTAAAAGAAAAAGGGTTTGTAATCAGATGTGTTAACTTCGCGAAATTCCAGGCAAGCATTGCCAACAATACATACATATATATGTTACCGGCAAAGTATGTAATCCGGCATTGTATAGAATGCCTAAAATTAGCCGGCAAAGTATGAAATGATTTATGTTTTACACATTGCCTAGGCATTCAATAGAATGCCAAATGAGAAACCGGCAAAGTATGAAATATATCTCCGATTCGTCAAAATGTCATTCAAAAATGACAAATTCAAAACGTCATCCGATTTGATATTAATTTATTCGAGGATATAATTACATTTATTCGATATTTTAATACTTACTGACGATAGATTACATTTATTCGATATTTTAATACTTACTGACGATAGATTACATTTATTCGATATGTTAATACTTACTGACGATAGATTACGTTTATTCGATATGTTAATACTTACTGACTATAGATTAGAAGAAACATCAGTGTTAGGAGTATCGGGCAAATATATACCAGACAATGGCACTTGACCTTAAAAAATATCAGTGTAGGGTATACCGGGCAAATGTACACCGGGCAGTGGCACTGAACCTCAAAAAAACATCAGTGTAGTGTATACCAGGCAAATGTATACCGGGCAATACAACTTGACCTTTAAATGCCTAGGCATTCTATAGAATGCCTAGGCATTTTATACAATGCCTAGGGAAAGTATGTAATACTTCTCACATGTCATACTTTGCATAAAAACATCCGGTATTCTATACAATGCCTAGGCATTCTATACAATGTCGGTGTTTCATACTTTGCCGGTAACATATACAATAATTGGAAATAATACTTTTCAGTTAGTTAAAGATTATCTATAGATCGAGAAATTGCACTCTCAAAACGTATAAAATAGAAGTTGAAAATAAACGTCTAAAAATAACGATTGAAAAAGAAACACAACCTAAAAAAGAAATGTTTTTTCTAAAAAGGTTTATTTTACTGCTAATTATTTCTGATGAAGCAGCAAGCGAACAGGAAAAGTTAAACGCGCTAGATTCATAAATCAAATAGTTATCTGTTCTTTTTGACAAGTTGAATTGCGAATGACGTCAATCTAGACTAGTAAGTTAATAGGCTTGAGAAGAAGTGCGGAGGAACACATAAAAGTAGAAAGAAAAGAATCGGCAGGATTTTCTATGGGTTTTTATTTCTTAACAAAGGTATGCAAATAAACCTAAATTGGCTAGGTAGTCCAAAAAAGAAGTTGATCCACGAAGACAACGTTTCTTCTTATTTTTACGGTTTTGTTTTTACATGAGTTTTGAATTCTGGATAGATTTTTAAAGAAAAGCATACTCACGACTCATTTACGGATGGGGAGTGAAGTATATTAGGGGGAAAAAGGCAGTGATACTTATAAATTAATATATTCAAGAAAAATTATAGATTTCAAATAATATAATCCTCAAGAAAAAAGTGGTAGTTGCAGAATTAGTTTTTCAGCTTCGGTAATTAAAAAGTTTGTGTAAGAGCTAGATTTTCGAATATTCTAGTTTTCAGAGATGAAACTAATTTTCTGACTAAGTGAGGTTTGTTTTATACCACTCGTCTTCGACAGTAGATTTCAACTCTATTGATGATGTAAATCGAAAGTTTGTTTTAATAATGCAGCATGAAGAGTTTATGAAAAAAACTCTCATTTGTACAAACTCTTTGTACTAAGTCACCCCATAACGTTTTGGGGGGATCGAGATCTGGAGACTTAGCTGACCATTTCAACATTGCTAGCTTGAAATCAATTTTTTGCACTGTTACTTGAATAAATAATTGCGTTGGCTTGATGATAAATCCAATTTTCAGTAGTAAGAATTTTTGTATTTGGTAAAAGATGACTTGCTAGGATATTTTGGTAAGCTCTTGAATTCATTCTGTCCAAAACGAACACAACTGAACCCACACTATTATAAGCAAAATATCTCCAGGTCATCACTGAGCCTAATAGGTGCTTGCAGCGCAATTCTTTTTCTTTTCTTAAATCATGACAATAGTATTTCCATCCAACCGGTCTATCTAAATTCCCTTTTTTTCCATCAGAAATTTTTTTTTTGTAGTCATTGGTTGTCCTAGGTCATGAGTTGATGGCTGAAGTTAAAACGCTCTAGTCTATGCCTCTGCAGCAACAGAGATTTTGCCATTTTTGACTGAAGTTTAAACGTTCTAGTTTATGCCTCTGCAGCAACAGAGATTTTGCCATTTTTGACTGAGTTTAAACGCTCTAGTTTATGCCTCTGCAGCAACAGAGATTTTGTCATTTTTGACTGAAGTTTAAACGCTCTAGTTTATGCCTCTGCAGCAACAGAGATTTTGCCATTTTTGACTGAAGTTTAAACGCTCTAGTTTATGCCTCTGCAGCAACAGAGATTTTGCCATGTTTGACTTTTAAATGAGTTTTCCAGACCTTCGAATGCATCGTTTTTTGACAAACGGGTCTCTTGAGTAAGTTTTCTAGTTGAGTATTTTACACATGGAAGTCTGCAAACTCTTCTTTCATCACACGAGGACATAGCTTTTTGGCCTTTCACCGGTATTCCTTTCGCCATGATAGTCTTTCAATATTAAGAAATTGTTGACTACAATCTTTGATCTTCCTATCTTTAGAGCAATAGTACGGCTACTCATTCTTGATGGGAAAAAAAAGGCTTTAACCCGTATCCTTTCATGATCAGTTAACTTATCCTTCGCCATCAAGAAAGCAGTAGATCTTCAAGAAATGCATGGCAAACTGGCAAATAGAAGTGTTTTAACAATTTTCATAGTTGCCTACATAATTAAGATAGTATGTGTATATTTATTTTCAAAAATTACAGGTGCCCTTAAAGTTTTTCTTTTGGTTGAAGTGCAAATTTTGTGCATACTTTTTTTCTGATAATTACGAATCTTGTTTGCTGCGTTATTTCTTAATAATATAGTAAGTATAAGAATTAATAATAAAATAAAAACTAAACTCGGTGGCGTGACAGCCCACAGAGGGCCAAGGCCTACTGTGCCCATCTCAGTTTTCTTGACCTTGGGCTCTGGGGTGCAGGAGCAGGTGTTCCGGTTAGGTGGTCAGCCGAAACCTCATGTTTGGTTCCCAAGCATGCTTGGCAGTGTTGCCAGGTACTGATAACCGTCCCCCCNCCTCCCCCCCCCCAGATGGCGATGTAAAATCCCCCCAAAATTTTTAAAAACCCCAAAATATTTAACTTACCGTATACGTATTTACCCCTTGGGGACGGGTGATTCAGAAAAGCATTCGTACAAAATCAGAATCAGGATGTAATCAAATAAAAAACGGTAACTTAAATGTAGTCGTTTCTAATTTGACAGACTTACTTTGCTTTTACTTTAATTATTGTTAGTTTAATCATATATATAAACAATGTTAATTCAAAGTATAACTAAATAGTTTTATTTTGAACAAAGTAATGGTGAATTAAATAAATCAAACAATTATAACTCCGCCCTCAAATAAACTGCTAAAGAATTACTTTGATTACCAGTTTTATCTTTTTACCCTGATTGATACGGTTTTATGCTGGCACGTCGGCGCGAAAGGGTTAAAAAATAGTACAAAAGTTAAATAATGTATAGAACATGTTGCTTAAATACTTTTTAATATTTTATTATCAACAAATTAATCTTTTTTGCATTTCAATCGTTACATTATTTTTAATTTCTACTAAAATATTTAAGATATTTTTTTCAATACTTTTTGACTTGCACATTTTTTCATAAATATTTTATTTTCAACGATATAGTCTTTTTAAATATTTTAATTCTAACATTATGCTTAAATTTTGGATGAAATATCCAACATATTTTCGTCAATGCTTTCTGATTTGTATATGTTTTCGCTGATAAACATTTTTAACATAGAACAACTAGATACAAAATCCTTTACCCTTAAACCTTTTTTCGTGTTCCCAATCTTTCTTTTACTTTTGTACGTACTTCTTTTTTTCTTTATCCTTTGGCATTAGTTTTAAACCATGCACATTAAAAATTTTAAATAATTTGAATTCAAATTCTCCAAACGTACTGGGTGATCGAGCTAAGTAATAACCAACTACATTGAACAAAGGGGTAAAGGTCTAAAATTATATCTTAATCTTTCTGTTTCGGTTTAACATATTGATTTTCATATTACCATCTCACACATTCAGTTATAGAATTTGATATTAGAAGGTAACCGAAATGAAACTAGTAAAATTCACAAATAACCCTAAAACAAACCCCTAAAATACCCACTGAAGATAAAAAAAAAATCCCCCTAAATTTAGGGGGAAAACCCCTAATCTGGAAACACTGATGCTTGGTACTCATTTCTCTACATTTGAAGGGATGAAAGGTTGAGTCGACCTTGCCCGGCCCGAACCCAGGACCTGTGGCACGGGAGCGCTACCAAATAATAAAATTAAAAGGGGTTTAAATATTACAGCACACTTCGATTTTCCTTAATTAATCATTTTTAAATGTTTTCACAGACTTTGAAGGTTTTACTCAAACTGTGCTATTGTAGTTAGTTTAAAAATTCGAAACATACTAATATATATTACTTGGCTTGAATTTTAAATACCATCATTTAAAAAAATAGATTTTAAAATTTACTATTTGGATTTCGCAGTTAAATAGTGTTTGACAGTTCGTGTTAACATACTGTTTGACAGTTTGTGTTAATTCTTTATGAAACTATTTTAGTCAATTATCTTGAAAATATACGTTAAGAGCGGCAATTTGAAATCTGTAAAATTTTTATCCGTATTTTTTGTGCAATTTTGTTAATGCGTAAATATTAATCATCTGAGAATTGATCACCAGATGACCCATTTGTCCTGAAATCCTATGAACGACAGAACTAAGGGGACCAGATTTCTTAACTATGATTTGAAGACGAAACACGGAACGTCTTCAAGAAAAATTTAAAATTCGAGGACACCCATATATTTTAGGATAATATAGGCGTAACAAACGATATAATTTAAGAATATTTAATATGTGCAACAAAGCTTTTTTTTTTAAAAAAAAAAAAATTAATAAACAGAGCTATTTCATCATTCGTGATATTATTACCAAGCAGTTTTGATAAATCATATGATATTCTGGATTTGTTTAATGCTTATAAAAGGAAGAAGTTATTTTTTTGCTGAAATTATTTTCACACGAGTATGGAGTTTTCATAAGTTAGTTTTAGCATGGCGCTTTTCGATAGTATTCTCAGTAAGAAAAAATTATCTTGTTTAATACAATATGCACATCTCTGATTTTTTTTGTTTTGTTGATATTTCACTGCATATAAAAAACGAATAAATGTTTTCGGACAATTCGAGAACATATGAGGGCAAATATTAAGATTTGAGGGCAACCATTGAAATTTGTGGACTGTCCTCAACCTTTCCTGGTACCTTTTAAACTGCCATCTAGCTGCACTGTTTAAACTAGGCTCACAGCCAGAGGACATCCTATACGGTCTTCAGGCGCCAGAACTCGCTAACCTCACACTCCAAACTTTTGGAAATATTTAGCTTTCATAAAGACAACAAAACTTAAGAAAATAATTGATTTATAATTGTTAATATTGATTAAAAGGTTAACTGCAGAGCTATAAGTGCGTAGTAAAATGTGCTGTGAAGCTAATAATGATCCACTTTATAACGTAGGTAACTTTAGTTGGATATACATTAGGAATACCGGACAGCATTATGGGAATAACTTTCCTGGCGGCGGGAACAAGCGTTCCTGATGCATTTGCTAGCCTTATTGTAGCTAGACAAGGTAAGTTGTGTTTCTAACTATTTAAAATTCTTTAGTAAACTCTTTCTTACTTGAATTATTATTTTTTTTTGTTTCAAAGATTGAATGAAAAAAGTGTATGAAGATTTTTTTAATTTGTTTTTGAAGCTTATATAAAAAAAAATTAATGTTTCACAGTTGGAACGGTTTTTATTCTGACATATGCAGTTCCAGTCGGTATCTGCTAGTTTTAAACAAATTGTAGAAAAAAGGAGGCCCAGGATGGAATAACAGAGCTCCCAATGGTTCGCCAAAAATATACAAGTGGTAGCAAATTAACCATCAAAATTTCTTGAAATTTAACTTTGTTTACCAACCATTTAAATTTGAATATTTTTCACCCAACGTATAGCATATTTTTTAGGCATGAATTCGAGTTGTTAAATTGTTGGAATAATCAAAAACGTATTATGATAATTAGAAAAGAGAATTTCGTAGAATAATGTTGAAACATATTATATGATATAAATTTTAATACAACTTTAATTAATTTGGCTAACACACATATAAAATTATTTATTACAGCTATTGCTTTTAATTTTTTTTTCTTGAGCAAAAGGCAACAATGAACTCAGTTCTTCCACCAAAAAGAAATACAAAAACAAAATTTGTTGCAAACAAAGTAATAACAAATGAATTTGAACTATAAAAACAGAAGGGGGTTGAGGATTTAAGCTAGATAAAAAAGTTCCAAAGTCTCCAGAGCCGTGCGGAGGAGTTGTCATCTCTAGGTTGCAGCAGCATATGTGGCAAACAGGACTGTTGACGATCTTAAGTTCATAAAAATGAGCTGAACAGAAACAATCATGTATGTGCCGTCATTCGATTATCAAACGATTACTCGATACCAGGGAAAGTACGGGAGATTAAAAATGGTTCTAATTCATAGCTTTCCCTTGATCTTCCTTTCATCTTATGGTCAAACTATGATCCGTAAAGCAACAGATCTATAGCAAACTCCCTGCGTTGGACGGCATTCTTCCTTTTCAGACTAACTTATCTGAGATCTATTTCCAGGAATACCACTATAGAATTGGATTCATTACATGGAAGCTGTTTTGCGCTTTCAGTATATGTTTCAACAGAGGGACCTGCTCTGTCATACCAAAGCACAAACAAGAGTTCCGCTGTTAGCAATGCCCTAGATAGCTGCCTGAGCACCGGCCTCATTAAAGTTGTAAAGTGACTATTTGCAACAGATTTTGTAGTTCCCAGTCAAAGATAGGAGGAAAAATTTTCTGAATGAATATAGATTGACACTTGTATTCATCCGCAATTTGTGTTGAGCCATCTGTATGAACATGCATCAGACAAAACTTCTCTTCAGTCTTGTATCTTTCATACAGGAAAAAGTCAAGGTAATACAAGATTTTTATGATTTCAAATGGAAAAAATCAAGGGCTCCGGACGAGCAGGAAAATCAAAACTGGACAGCTTTCAAGAAGCTATCTTTAACCCATGAGGGGATGAGAGTTTGAGCTAGCCCACCGAGCACTGTATGACACTCATATTAATTTCTGCGCCAGCTCTTCCCTGCCCCAGTGACCAGGCGAAGAGCTTGGTTTTTAATTCGCTCTGTTCCCTCGTGGCCTAAATAGCCATTATCAGTGGTGCATTTCAGTACTCCAAAACAGGTTTAATCAGGGTTTTGAAGGTAGTGTAACGGGGATAAGTTGCATAACCCCGTCAAAAAAAGATCCATCCAGGAAGAGAAAAGATGAATAATTTATATGTGAAACACAATTACGGGCAACAAAAAGTTAACGGGCAATTATAACACGTGTCACAAAAATGATATAAAAAAGTAGATAATTAATTATTAGTTCATACCTTTCCTACGCTACATAATACGAATCTGTTTTAATACGGACAAAATGGAACTTGTAAGAAGAAGAAACTTGATTCGTGTAATAAATATTAATTTTCGTTTATGTTTACGAATAGGGCAAGGAGACATGGCTGTATCGAATAGTCTAGGAAGTAATATATTTGACATTCTTATTGGCCTAGCATTCCCATGGTTCATTCAGACAACTATGGTAGAGCCAGGATCTATTGTAAGTTACGAACAAATTCAATATCTAAGTATATTTGCTTCATGCTTCTTTCTTAGAAATTTTCTTTCTTTCTGATTCCAGGCAGTGATCAACAGCAGAGGAATGGTTTATTCCGTAATACTGTTATTTCTAACAATTATCATAACGGTAAATATATTTCGTTATCATAATATTTTAATTAAAAAAAAGTTAGACATTTTATAAAAAGGGAATTTTTTTATTTAAACTCATTCTATCCAGGTAGCTGAGACACATCTAAACTTTATTGTGTATTTAGACATTTTACAAGAGAATTAAAAAGATTCTTAATTTAAGCACTTAAATTTAGATAAATGTACAGGAATAGCCTAAATGATTCATTCAGTTAAGAAGAATTACCCTTTTATTTTAAGTATACTACGCACAAAGATTGCTGATGATAGAACGACAAATGTTCAATTTGGTCACCCCGTACTCATCCTAATGGTAAACCAGTTGTGCTCATGCAATACGAGGTCGACGAGGAATTGATAAAAATATGCTGTTCATACTCATGTGTAATCAATAGCATGTTTTTATTAATCCTCGTATCGGTTTAATTCCTCGTCAAAGCAGCAATATTTGTGGTCCTGCAGTGCTGTTGATATTTGAAGAAGAAAAAAATTATGAACCCACAATACCAACTAAAGTTTATTTCCCCTCATTTCCTACATTACTGCAGGGATACACCTCAGACATTAATTGTGGTCTTGTTCTAAGAAATGTATACAACTGGTTTACCACATTCTATGAAATAAATGTATGGAACATGGTTTACCATTGGGCTGTGTTCCGAGTGACTAATAGCTTGATGAGTATGTGTATCTTTTTACGTATCAAACATCTTTGTTTGCAGTATATTTATTTTTAAATAAAGTCCTCTGAAACTATAAGAATCCTTGGGCATTTGAAAAAATTGAAATCTACAATTGGTCAAACGCAATCTACCTTCATATCTAGTAAAACTATAAGAGGTTCTTCCCCCTGCTCACCACACTTGAAACTGTTTGGTTAACTGTCTGTACTGAGCTGTCAGTCATTGTGAAATACTGGTGTTCTATGTTCCGTGGCGACTTAAAACTAGCTTCAAATCGATGAGTACTAGCTTGTCTGGGAAGTAGAGGCGGTCTGTATGCAATATTGACCACGTCAATGCATGCCGTAGGTCAGTGTTTCCCAAAGTGTGGTACGCGTACCCCCAGGGGTATGGGAACAGTTTCGAGGGGATACGCGTTCTTATGCGAAATATCTTGCAAGAAACGAAAATTTCAAATTTTTTAATTTAAAAACAAAGCTAGACATAAAAATTTACCATTACGTATTTTTCTATTGGCTATTTTTTGCAGAGTTAACAGTTAATAATGAGTGGTGTCAACAGCCAGTTGTGATTTTTAACTTTAGTGCAATTTTTCTATAGTAAAAAATACATAGATTTTTTTTATTAGTGGTACACAGCGTTGCGAAAAATTTAGAAAGGGTACACCAAAGTTATAAGTTTGGGAAACACTGCCGTAGATCATAAAATTGTAAAGCTTTAACTCCCATAATCCCACAACGCGGCTGTTGTATGAATGCTTTATTTTATTTAATACCTTAGCTTTTATACTTTATTTTAAATGTGTTAGAGGGCTTCATTTCTCTGTTGCATAGCTGTCAATTCTTTAGGATCTCCAAGATTTTATTATTACAATTAAAGTGATAGCAAAATTTACGCTTTTTTATTTTATTTGAATTTAAAACTTTAATTCAGAATGATTTTCACTGCTACTACATATAAATTAAGCATACTGATAAATGCATAATGCTCATACAATAATGTGTTTAAGTTTCCATAAAATGTAAAAATACTTCTGCTTACAATTTTTATTTCACTACCATTTGGGAAAATTATTTCTGAAAGAAGCAAAATTAGGCATATATGTCATCAATTCCAGATACAACTAAAGCGAACAAAATCACCCTCAGATAATTGCCCTTATTTATGCTAGATAGAGGAAACAGGAAGTGAGTTATAATCATGCTTAAGCATGACAATATCAAAAAAGAAAAAAACTTTGCTGTGGAGAATTTTTTTTTTCGATGGTGATATTTCCAGTTATCTTTACCGGGAAATATTTTAAGCAATCTCTGCAATGGAAATTTGATGAGACATTACAAAGGACGAACTTGTTATTAACACGTTGAATTCCACGCTAATTTTACATGTCTTACCTGTCTGGCCAAAATGATTTTCCCAGCATGTATTGCATTAATTTCTTCAGACCATTTTAGTAACGAGAATAATATTAAAAAAATTAAAAGCATTAAAAATTTACTCGAATTATGTGTTTCTAATAATCTTGGCGTCACCGGTGACCCCCATGGCATTCAACTTGTTAATTTCAGTAAAAATCAAAAGAACTAATATTTACTAAAACAACTACATTTTAGCAGGGGTGATTGTGAGCCCAAGCCAAAATTCCGGAAAATTTCTTGAGTTAAAAAAAAAGAAGCTTAAATTGAAAAAATTTAAACAAGGTTTTTTGTTTCCCCCTTTTTATCAATATTTCTTAGTTTACTTAAAATATATTTAAAATTTTACACATTCCTATGATGACCTGGAGAAGTAATTAAAATTTACAAATATGTCTTTCTTTCTTGAGTTTATGATTATAACAACTATTTACTGATAAAAAATGAATATTAATCATGCATATAAGCTTATAAAATATCTCTCTGGCTCTCCCTTACAAACAAATAAATTAAACTGAGTTTTTAACTTCCACCTTTGAAAATTTGATTTCCGGAAACTTCTGTGATCAATGATTTTTTTAAATGTCTGAACCTTCAATCTCCGGATCACAGTTAGCGAAAAATCCGGATTTTTTCCGGAGCACAATCAGCCCTGATTTTAGGAAAGCTGAGATTTTTTTCGATTCATCACATACTAATTACCGATTCTTATATTTTTTCCAGACAAATGTAGTTTCATTATGAATGTAATTATGATAATCTCTCTCTTTTCAATACAGATTGGAGGAATATTTTTAAGTCAATGGCAACTTACCCGCAGGCTCGGGATAGTTTTACTTACCGTCTATGGAGTGTTTCTTGTCATATCTGTTCTGTTGGAGTTTAATTTGCTTGGATATGTGAATCCGCCCATGTGCCAAGACTGAGCTTTGACCTAAAGTCCTCCTTATGGTCCTACAACAATTTCCTTTTAAACTTGTGTGATGTATGGTGATTCAGTTAGTAAAGTATTCTAGGTATCTTTGTATGATATCTTAAAATGAAAGACTTGATAACGGATGAATTACCTAATAAGACAACTAGTTTCTTTATACAGAAAGGAATTTTTTTCTTCTTCCAAAATTGAAATCTAAGATGTTTACTACTAGAAAAAAACTTTGAAAATCTTGATAACAAGATTTAAACATGCACACGACATTGTACAGCACTAGAAACCGGAATCTCTAAATTAATGTGCTGAATATATACAGCCCACTGGCGATAATTCAATTATAAACAAAACTTCTTTTTAATAAATATTTATTTCTCCTTTCTATTTATTATTATTATTGTTGAATTTCATGCTAATTATTCCTCATTACACCATCAAGGTTCAACTAATTTTTAAAAGCTTTACTTCAGTTTTTTTTCAAAAGCTATCTTTCAAACAAAGTCGAATTTCAAAAGAAAAAAAAATTGAGTGAAGTTCATAAATAAAAATGCACCTTTGAAGCGAGTAAAATTTCAACTCTGTAGTTGCATTTCTAAGGGCTACAAAGCGGCATGTATGGTATTTTTTAACTTACAAAGTTTAAACATTGATAATTCTAGAACTAGAGCCGAGATGGCTCAAGGAATAAAGCATTCGCCTTCCAATGAGGATAACCGGGTTCGAATCCCAGCGATGGCTCGTCGGTGGGATTCGATCTTGCTCTGATCAGTTTTGACGTAAAATATCCTCAGTGGTAGATGGATCACGGCTTTTAAGACTCCCCTTGCAGGCAGGCTTTCCTCTTCATGTAAGGGAAATGCGAATTAGTTCATCAAAAAAGTCCTTACATTTCTCCAAATACTTGAACCAGGAGTTCCCATGTCTTCTGGAGTTGAACATTGCTAGTCGTAAACCCAAAACACAGGGTCGGCTGTTCAACGATGGTTATAAAAAATTTCGGAACTAATAGTCGAACCTTAATTTTTCTTCTTCTCCATCACGCTTTCTGTCGATTTTCCTACACCATCATAATCAAGGTTTTAAGCCTTATAGTTTTTGCATAACAATATAAAATGCAACCTGAAGATTGCTCCGTCTTTTACAGATGAAAGAACGGCAAAAAACAATATGCAATAAATAAAGGGGTCCTCAGAACATTTGGGCAAGATGTGCATTCACGTTTATTTTATTCATACTATAGTTAACTACACAGTTTTAGATGAACTTTGTGCAAGAAACGAAAAACAATAATATGGGTGAGAAAAAAATTCGACAATGAAATAAAGAGATATAGCAATGGAGAAGAGAATATTGATACTCTTTCAATGGTACTAAAGGAATTGCATTGTCTGCTAACGACTAGAGCTTCAATAATGGGTTATAGGTGAAGATCCGGGAATTATTTTTAGTATGATCTCATAATAAAACTAGAGCATGCACGTAAACACAATTCAGATCAGAAAGCAAAATGGTGATAGTAGCTACCGGTAATTACTATCAGTAATTAACGGGTAGCAACTACCAGTAACCAAACAGGGAAACATAATAAATGAATCTAACCCTCCGTCCCATATTTGATTTGAGTCATTAATCTATATATCAGGAATAAGTAATACAACTTATGTTTTTAAGGGGGAAAAATTTAGTTGCACAGTGCAAATGATTTGAGATTAGGTCATTAAATGCATACTAGGAAGTCAGAAAATAGTAAAATCTCAATAATATATGTATACAAATGTCATAATGGGAGGGTAAAACTATAAATTTTATTATAGCTTGTTTTTAGAAACTAAAAAGTGAAGGTCCATACATATGTGTACCGAAGTAATGAAAAGGTTAAATAACAAGGTTGAGGCACTAAAAAGCTTGTTATTTAATTAATTTTGAAAATCACTACTTGAAGCAATTCTAACCTCAAGTCTTTCATTTAGGACATCATGCAGAGTTTTGATAAATAATTACGAAAGTGTGAGAATTGAGAAATAATTTCTGAAAAAGGCATGCATTTCAAAGTAAAAGGTTTTATTGTATTTAGGCTATAGATTTGGTTAAATAATTTATTTACACCATTCATATGCACTCAAAAGTATTTTAATGACTATGCTATAGAAAGAGCAGAGATTTTGCTAGGTAATAACGAGATAGGATACTCTTTAAATTTTGAAATGTAAACTAGATGTCGCCTTTAGGGTGAGAATTTGAATAAAATGTAAAGATAATTTAAAGATTATTAATTGAAATTTTTTAAAAATCATAAAAATGTAATTTAAAATGAATCCTACTGCACAAAACAGTTATTGAAAGAAAAAAAATTTCATTGCTATGGCATTTAACGATGCAGTTAGGATATCAACTGAAAAGGTAATATGAAGAAATCGCCAATTTTTTTTCCAGAAATTTTTAAAATCAAAACTTGTTTTAGACAGTTACATGTTAATACGAAAATAAACGTGTTTATTTAGATAGTTTATATCAGTGTTTCTTGGTGGAATACATCAAATTAAGAAACTAAAATATAAAATATTTTGTAATTTTTTAATAATCTATTGCTTTAGATTTCTTACTCTTAAAGAAAAATCTAAATTAAACTTTAGTATAAAGTAAGACAACAAATAGATTTCATCAAAAATTAGAGTCTATGCAAATAGTATAGACTCTAATCACTCAAAGACACAGACAATTTTAAGTTAAAAAATATTTCCTTCCTTCCACATAAATTCAGTTTTTAAATTAAGCATCGATCTTTAAATCGAGGAAACATAGTTCTAAATATTATCATAAAATTATTTTATAAATCATAGTTATAATAAAATTACTTCTTTACAATAGTAACTGAAATTGTTTAAGTAACAATCTTTGAAATAGTTATCAGTATTTATGGAAATAGTGCCTAATTTATAATATAAATGACTATTTTTTATTCACTGCTCAAGAAAAGATATGATAAAAACAGGGGTTTCTAACTTGTAAAGCATCTGAGGAATTCAAGCAAAAACACCAGTTGTTACACTAAACTGATTAGCCAGGAAATTTACTAGAGGAGTTTTACAAAATTTGATCAGAAATGGCCAACTTTCAAATTAAACAAATACAGGTATTGAATAATGAATCAAAAAAGAAATGGACATTTTAACACGCATATTAACCCCTCCAAGACTAATTTCTAATTTTTTTTTATAGCGAAAGTTTTTCTTTTGGGAAACGTTTTTTTACCATTGATAAGATTACAAAGAACTGCCCTTGCATCAGAAAGGTTCTGGGTTCGAATCTCGGGCAAGGCACTTCAGATGCCTGTATGACGCAAGTCATTCTCCAGGTGGGCATTGGAAAAAAAATATTACAAAGATTTAAAAAAAAAAAAAATCTGGACTGACCTCTTGCAGTGGGACATAGATGTTCCATTAGTATTTTTGAGTGGGACATATTCTGTACCACCAGTATCCAATGTTAACAGATAAAAAAATGATAAACTTTTAAAATCCTGCATATAATGATTCAAAACAACGTAAAAGGATATTAGTTATATTACTCACTTTTACTTAGCTCTATTTCAGTTATTTTCCACACAAAATAATGCACATAATCTCAACAAACATCGGATTTTTTCTAAGCTGTGCCATCATGACAATTTTACAAGTGTTGCCAATCATCGAAATAGAAGGAGGGAAGTTCAAAAGACTAATGTTAAAATGGGATCTATTTAGCCAAACAGTGTACTTTAATCATCTGATGGGACACATAAGTGTTAAAACAATTCCAGACAATTATAATTTTATTCTGATAGCAAGTATTCTGTTACTTAAAATTTTCATGAAACTTTAAGAAAAAAAAATACTAAATGGGAAAGGTAACTTACATAAAAGATTGCAAAATGTTTTGAACTGAAGAACGCCAGAGGAGCCAAATATCTCAGAACAGGTGCCTACGGTGTTACTCTGCTCAGGAAACACAACAGAGAAAAGTTTGTGGGGTGTCTTCTATTGTAGTTCTTGATAAATTTCGATGCAGAAAATCACACACTTTCATGTAAGTACATAACCACAAAAACCAATGTAAATTTCCAGTCTAAAAAATACATATTGGTTCTTAGGCCACAAAAATATACAATACCCCCCGAGCTGCCAGTTAGACTTAGAAATTGGGCAGCTCCAAAGAGCACAGCACATCGACAAGAGGTCTATTGTACTCAAACCTTAAATCTTGATTAACAAGAAAGCCAGCAAACACCTGACAGGAACATCTAGCAATTCACGGACCTTAATGCAATGTTGCTCTAAATGCTCAAATCTTTCAGCAGACTAGACCTCACATTTACAAAGCCTCCTCCTCAAGATGACAACCTCGACAAAGAGAATCAGATTCAATACTCATTACATATAGGTGTCTCCTGAGGGTGCAGTGTCCTCAAACTGTCCCTGTTTAGCTTAAGAAGCTCTTTTTGACGTAAACGACAGTAAGATTCAATTCTTTAGCTTGTCTCTGACCCTCTGAGGAGCGCCATTGCTAATGTTCAATTTTGCCATAGAGCTGCCAGTTAGAAACCTCTGGATTAAAAGAAACTGATCTCAAACTAAATAACTAAGAAACACTGATTTATAATAGTTTTTATATTTAAACACAAAGAGCAGTGTCATTTTTACCTACTTTACACTTTCCTACCGCCCAGTTCATAAATTAAAAAAATTAATCAAAAACATTAATATATTTCTTATAAGAATCTTTTTCAGCAAATGAAATATTAGAATTACACAATTAGATTATAAATTAGAGACATCTTTAACAAATCTACATTTAAAGTAATTATTTTTTAAAGTGTTTATAGTCACAAATATAGGCCATGATATATATAGCATTAGTTTTGAATATTTAAAAGAGCTTTTTATCACAAAACAAAAAGTTGCCAGAATTTTTAAATATTTATTATAACAAATAGAAAAAAAATATAGAAGATTTTTTTTCGAAATATTTTGTTAAGAAATTAAAATAAATGCTTTTTTGTTAGTTTTAAAAATATTAAATCAGTACAAACAGTTTTTTTAATTGTA